CGGTGGATCACGCGCACGCGGAGGGACCGACCGGGGTCGGCCCGACCCGGTCTGGCTGAGCTGGCGCCGATGTGGCGCCTACGTGGCTGCCACGCGGGCCGGCGGGAGGTAGACGACGACCCGGCCGCGAATGGACGGCGGGCGGCGGCGGCGAGCGGCGGAGCGAACCACGGCGATACGGGCAACATCGAGCACACCGGGCGGTTGCACGTGACAAGGGGAGGCGAGCCAACGGCTCGGATTCGCCGGAGGTTGCTCGACGGCGGCGGATTGCGGCGGCGGGAGAAGAGGGAAACGGCGACGAGGTCACGAGAGGTCGATTCCCGGCGGTGAGAGCATCTACGCGGCTTCGGGAACTCGACGCTAGCGTCGGATTGGGCGGAACTACGCCGAGCGAGGCCGGCGACGAGCGGGTATTACGGAGCTCGGGCGGCGACGGCGGCGAGCACACGGCGAGCGACGGCAACGGTCGGGGCGGCGCCGGCTAACTACGGGGAGTCTACTCAAGCTACTACCGAAAGCTAGGGGGGGAGATGGAGCGAGGAGGAAGAACGGAGAGAGACACTACCGTGCGGGACGGGGCGCAGTGACGAGAGGCCGACGGCGCGGGAGTGATCTCTCCGGCCTCGGGCCGAGGAAGAGGAAGAAGAGGGCGCGCCCGGAGTCCCCTTCCGCGTCCACGAACGCACCGGCTCGGGCGGGAAACCACGCGGGCGCGCGCGCGAGCAACGGCGTGCGGGGCCGGCTTTGCGAGCGGGGAGCTCGCGCGAGAGGAGGGGGCGCTCGGCGCGGGCGACTCCCGCGCACACGCGAGCAGCGTGCGGGCGAGGCTGAGCGGGGGGGGGGAGGCGCGCCGGGGAGGGGAGAGAGCGAGAGAGAGAGAGGGGGGCGCCTGGGAGAGAGGGGGCCGGGGAAGAGATGGGCCGAGCGGAATTCGATTTAGCAAACTAGACTTTTGTGGAGGGATTCGATTTGGAAGGAATTGGATTCGGAATTGAACTCGATGATAGATCGGGGATTGAGATCTTGAGATGGCACGGACACTAGACAACAATCAAAGAAACAAATTTCGCAATTAGGGTTTTTCAGAGATAATTTTCCCGCTAGGCGCCACGACGGAACGGGCGCTACAGTAAAACTCACCTTATTGCAGCTTCTAAAAACTATGAGATATTACATTATTTTTAATAGTAATATATATATGCCTTTCAAATTATGTCATTGTCTATAGAAACAACATAAGTTAACACAAGCCATATAAATATTACTGAAACTAGTATATATAGATAAGAAATAAGGTTTATAAATGTAGTACATGGCATCCTTTTTACCCTTTTCACGACGGTGTTTCATTTTATGGAAACGATCAACAATCACGTCATTAGTAATTGTGTCTAATATTTTCTTATGTCTTCACGTTGGGATGATAACTGCCATTCTATTCCTTTTCCTGTATCCGAGGAAACTTGTCCATATCAATTGGTTGAGGCACTCCAGATTTTTCTCAGTATTGGTGTAGATGCATTTGCACTAGAACTTCCTCCGGTGGTGTTCATAGCTGCTGGATTTTTAATAAACAAAATTGTTCATTATCTCACCTACCAAATCATGGGAAGGCTAATTAGATAGAGCACGTGAGGAGGAGGAGGACCTATGGATCCATCCACTATAACTATTGACAGCATGAAAGGGAGGAGAGGGTAGGCAAAGAGGAGAGAATGAGCAGCGCCGCTGAGGCTAAGGCACTGACGATGACGAGCGGTCGAGGAAGGCAGGAAGCGGCGATTCGGGTGAGACGATGGTGGGTTCGCTTCCCGTTCACTTCCCTAATCCCTAATTTGCGGATTTGCCAGTTGATGGAATCTGAGAGAATCAGAGAAAGGGAGCGCCCGTTCGTCCCCTCCATGCATGCACGATTGTGATGAAGGAACGAAAACTTGGGGACTGGGGTCCTTCCTCCCAATTAAAGTGGGGGCCCATAGATTATACTACTAGGGATATACCTAAGGAGTGTAATTTTGACTGGGGTCCAAGGCCCCCCATCATTTCTACATTAAATCCGCCCCTGCTTCTAGAAATGATGATTGATGCTAATAGGCGATGCGAGCGCTGTCAACAAGCTTCGTCGCTGGTTGGGGTTGGCTAGGTTCTGAAGTTTAGGGTTCTATGTTAGGAGTTGTTGTGCTTTATGTGCTTTTCCATATTTGCCCAGTGCTGTTGTTTGCCTGGAGTGCATGTTCTGGATGACAACTATGATGTACTACCTCTGTCCCACATAAATTGCAATTATATCATTATGGTCATTTTTTAATCCTACTAATCTCTATAATACCAATTTCGTGCGCGTTCTCCGTCGGAGAGACCTACCACGTGGCATTGCGTGATTCACGGATTGCCCCTGGCGCCGCAACGGCATGGCAGAAGCGGCCTCATCTGTCGCCCCATGCATGCGCTCGAGGCAGCTGGTAGCTGGGCTTTGACTCTTTGAGCCTAATGGGCTGCACTTTGGCTTGGCTTTCCCGTCTCAGCGTAGCCATCAGGCAGTATTTCCACTTCATATTTATAAAATGGTCCTTGCATTTTATTTGAAGTTCATAACAATACCTGCAGTCAGTTATATGTAATTGTATACACATAGGATGATTGTATCAAACAAATAATTACTTGACTGTGTTTTAGTTGATGAGAAAAAACAAAATAAGTCAAATATTTAATACGTTTAAATATTTATGTTACTACCTCCGTCCCAAAATAAGTGTAGTTTTAGCACTATTCATGTTCAACGTTTGACCGTTCGTCTTATTTGAAAAAAGATTATGATTAGTATTTTTATTGTTATTAGATGATAAAATATGAATAGTACTTTATGTGTAACTATTTTTTTTAATATTTTTCATAGATTTTTCAAATAAGACGGATGGTCAAAGCGCTAAACACGGATATTTATGGTTGCACTTATTTTGGAACGGAGGTAGTAACATAAATATTTAAACGTATTAAATATTGACTTATTTTGTTTTTCCTCATCAACTAAAACACAGTCAAGTAATTATTTGTTTGATACAATCATCCTATGTGTATACAATTGCATATAACTGACTGAAGGTATTGTTATGAACTTTAAATAAAATGCAAGGACCATTTTATAAATATGAAGTGGAAATGCTGCCTGATGGCTACGCTGAGACGGGAAAGCCAAGCCAAAGTGCAGCCCATTAGGCTCAAAGAGTCAAAGCCCAGCTACCAGCTGCCTCGAGCGCATGCATGGGGCGACAGATGAGGCCGCTTCTGCCATGCCGTTGCGGCGCCAAGGGCAATCCGTGAATCACGCAGTGCCACGTGGTAGGTCTCTCCGACGGAGAACGCGCACGAAATTCGTATTATAGAGATAAATTGTTCCATCCAATGTCCTAATTCATCAATTAACCTAGATTTCTTAGTAAAAGTCTTTCACTGTCTCATGTCTCACTTGCATAGTTGTATTTTTACATTACAGACATCATATATTTATGTTGTTTAGCACTTAAGCCTATAATTATTACGATGGGTCGTTTATTGATTATTGCATTATTGTTTCTTGCATTGCTAACTCGATATTGTATAGATTGCATACACACATAACATCCGACAAATTTATTCCGTTTCCAAACCGATTCCGCACCATTTCCGACATCCGAAACAATTCGCTCCGCATCTGCATCCGTACACTATCCGCACCCGTTCCGAATCCGTTTAAAAAAATATGGTTTATGATATGGTATGACCACTATCCGTTTGAATCCGCTTCATTTTCACCCTATCAAATAAGAACATGGAAATATAATACAAATATGTGTGAAACGTGAAAACATCTATATATAAGTTTTGTTGCATAGAAATATATGACAATGTAAATCTTCTAATAAATACTATCTATTGTAGGTTCCAACTAAAAAATAAAAATGTTATTAATAGTTCTATCAAATATCAAATGTATATTTTTTTTATACAGTGCAAACAGAAGAAGTAATGGGCGCGCCTATTGGCGCGTCAATTTTCTAGTCTGTCCTAAATTAGCTAGAATTGCAGAACATGCACTACATTGTTGCTTTGTCAGTTGAAAACCCCATAAAAACCATATGTAAACTACATTGTTGCTTTCTATAGAAAGTATAGCCGCTCCAGATCGTCTTCCTTTCTTGAAAAAAAAAATAATGTATGTCAAGATTGAAATAAAAATTATGAAAAATACCCCGAGAAAATTTTGTTTCTCTCCTTGCAGAGTAAAGGATTCCATTTTTCACACCACGCGCGTAGCCACATACGTGCGGCTGCATGCTAGCGATAGAGCAAATGCGTACTTGCTTCTATAAGAGAAGGTACAATAGCAGGCTATAAGCCAACTATAATTACATATCGGGAGGAAAAGAGAAGAGAGAGAAGAAAGTGGGCTACAATCAAAGACATTATGTGGAAGAGAGAAGAAAGGATTCCAAGACATTATATGTGTATGAGAGGTGGAACCGGGTATTAATAATGTAGTATATTTTTATAGTTAACTATTATATGAATAGGCTATTAGATTACTTATAGATGATTTAGAGCCAGTAATTAGCTATACTATTAAACTTACTCTAAGGCCAAAGTACTGTAAGTAAGTGGTTAGCTCGTGTTCAAAATATAGAAATTTAGGACTTGAAAAGAGAGTAGTAAAAAGAAAAAAAATCATTTTACGATGAACAGCTACAGCTGCTGCGTTGTACAGCATTGCCGACTGGCATATGTTTCACGAGACTGGGGCATATATTCCTGACACCAAACCCCCCAGTCCAGAAGACAGCCACACAGACATCAGAAATCACAATATCAGATGCAGGCATACACGTGCCAGAGCAGAAGCCAAGACTCACCTGAACTACCACAGAATCTCTTCTGGCAACAACCCGTGTAACGCCGAGACCCTGCAACAACATTAGACAAGTAGTTGTCCGGAGAGCGGCAGCGATCTCTTTGCACGAATATGAACACCACCAGAGTTTACTCCAGTTAGGGATGATGAATCAATTCACAGCGTAGCCGGTGAAAATAGGACAAGCCATAGACATTATTTGTTCCAATGCCTGTCAAAGGCCGCTACAGCATCCATCGATAACAAAATAACAAAAGGGAAGGGGGTGATAAGTTGGGGGGCAGAGGAGAGATGAGAGGGGGTCAAAATAGAGCTCCCGGAGAACATACAGATTGGTCTCTGTCTGATCCAAGAACACATCAGCGCGGTATGTAGGGGGCCTTCTGCTAAGACTAGTAGAATAACCAAAAGGACAAACTCTCTTCGACGACAATTACTGATCCGCGACGCGACAGACGGTCTCTAAGGCCACACAGACTAGAGAGGAGGCTTTGCTGCCCTGGACGATGGCTTCAGATGAGAGAGCCGGGTTTCAGTGCGACGTCACACGGGGCGAACGGGGCCGGACCGGTGTCTTTGACGGGCTCACCCTGCAGAACAGAGCAAGAAAAAGAGTTAGGTCTATTGCGCAATCGGGCCGTAACTGGTTGCAATATACTAGTTTGGAACACGCATAGGGAGTATTTGCTTGCCTGACGGGAAGCGCTCCAAGGACCATGCCACTGCAACTCAGAGCAAGAATAGCAGAGTCTGCCTGCATGAACAAAGTGTAAAATGGTCAATGCCTAGAAAAAGGTACAACACGTTTCAGGGAATGAGGAAAATAAAAGGACGAAGCTATGGCAACGAGGACAACAACAATATACAACTGAGATGGCATATCACAAAAATATCCGTATTACATATGAACTCAGATGATCTTGGAACATCTGAAGCATATGCAGCTTCATCTGATTTTTTTTTCATGGATGTGGAAGAGCAAATTGGATGCTTTTAACACACAATTTTCTTTTGTGTACTACTCAAGGGGAAGCTAACTGACGGTCCTTTTTTTTCTTGTGAAAAGACAAACCCTGACGATCTTAAGACTGGGATCATTTTTTCTTTAGGAAATTCAATGAAAGATGTTCCAACTTGATCGATTTTAAGTTGGTTACTTCTCTGAATGTCTCTCAGACTACCATACTAGAAGTTGCACAGAACGAAGTGACTTCAGTGAAGAGAGTTTTCACAGAGCTCATCAGTCATCACAACTGCTCAATGAATATGCAATGTTGTTTGCCTTAATAATTGACAGTGGTTATTCCACTTATATTGTGAGGGTCACATTCAGTACTCTGGTTCAACAGTTATATTAGTCAATTCAGATTTTGGGTGTCTTCAAGGGTTTCTTGCCTGAAGCATTGTGTGGTTTATTCTTTCTTCTTGTGTTGTGTCTGATCTAGCTGACCAAGAGGTAAACCCGTTTTAGTAATTAATGTAACATATGTTCAGTAGGGTCCTCCCTACTGTTTATTTCTCAGAGAGAGAGAGAGAGAGAGAGAGAGACTCCAGTATCTACATGAACTTCTGAACTTTTTTTATAACCATGCTATCAAGATGGTAGCAACTTATAACAAAATTGAGTCATTCAAATGTAACAGAGCTCAAACAAGACAAAATTCAAATGTTTGCAGTAAAGGAAACGTAAAAAAAGATGATTACTTAAGTTCAATTGTCAAAATATCAAAATAGTGTTCTTCTATTGCCCAAAAAAAGAAATCAATTGAATTCTACTTCTATGTTTTTGCTGTTATTGTTTATGTACTTGTTGCAAACAACAGATTATGGATAAAAGAACAACAAAACTTATCATTGGTAACCTCTTTGACAATTAGCAGCACTTTTCAATAACATAAAATGATACATTCTCATTAACTTGCAATATTTAAAGTAAAATTTACTGTTTTACTTACTTGAACAAACTCAACAAACGCGATGCATGTGGAGTGCACATAATCACCCAGTAGCCTCAGTCGAGCAACCTACACATAAAGGGAAAACACAGACAGTTTGAGGGAAGTATCCAAGTTTAACCATAAAAAACATATCTGTAAGATAAAATAGTTGGGCATACTTCACCACACATCCCCTCAAAGAAGCTCTTCACAGCATCTTCAGGAACCTATATTTAGAAACAAGATATTAAATAATGCAGAAAGTTGTGGTACAATTACCACACCAGAATTAGGAAACAAACAACAAAAAGACATCTAGATCATAGCATTCATTATTTATCTGAGAAAGTCAATTTACACAGTAAGGGCACATACCCTAATCTCTTGCATGTGACCCAAACGGTCTTAAAAAATTCTGAAAATTTTAACTCAGATTATAATTTTATGTCACTGTCACAACACGAACATGCAAGGCTAAATTTGATCTACACATCTAGAAGCAAAAAGAAAGAAAAGAAAAACAAATCTGTTCATGAAAAGTGTGGTAGAATTTGCTCAATTTGTTTATTTGGTTTCTCACTGAGTGGAGTGACTTTGGAGTTGAAGAGATGGTAGATGCTTGTTCTATCAGGGTTATCTTTTATGGCTATTAATATTTGAGGATTGAGAAGCAAATGAGAACAAAATCTAACTCGGCTTTACGTTTGTTCAGACTAAAATTGGAAAGATTGATGATAGAAGAGAATTAAAAATATATATAGCTATAAGAATAATTTAAGACTTACTGCTACAATGATATTACAACACAATGGTGGAGGATCAGAATCCAATTATTAATGACCTCCTTTTTTAAGAAACACACCAACTCAGCTATATACAAAAAAAAGAATTATAAGTTCACAAAACATTTCCTTGTAGGTAAATGATCTACAATAGATACATTCCATACTAGGACAGATGGCTAAAGCTATACGCAGATACAATAAAACCTAGTCTTCTCCCAACCTTGACAAGTTATTAATTCAGCCCTTCATCAGATCAACTGTTTTTAGGATTGTGTGATGAAAATATGGATTAACGGAATTACATCAAAATCATCGAAATACAGGCAAGGAGCCGAGGATCTACCATAATTGGCCAACTGGGTGTAATTTAATCAAGATACCAACTCAAGAGATTAAATAAAATTAAGACTCAGTTGGGCACTTTAGAGACCAAGGTTTCTAGTGGTCCACATCAGTGTCATTATCTTGCATGGGGCACACAAGAGGAAGACCAATAACGCTGCACTGAAGTAAATGTTTCTATTGATCTGGGAAGTTACAGAAGCTTGAATCATGGATCAAGAATTTGCATTTTCAAAGAAAGATGAGCTCATAAATGACTGCAGAAAAGGTTTACAATTACTATTTCTCAGTGCAAACAAAACAATATGTATTTCTGACATATGATATTTTCTTAATGCACTGGTATCACATTCATTCAGTTGCCAAGTGCTTGTAGCATGTCAGGTTACTTAGGAAGTGATTTGGACAACAATGACATATTGTGAGCCTTCAGCTAGTTCATTCATTCAAAGGGAATTGAACTAAATCTTGTAGGCCAAACTTTTAGATGTGGTTTAATACATACGTGCAATTATAAGCATAACAGAAATGATAGAGAGATCAGCTTACATTCTTATCGATGTTAGTACAATACACAGTCCTTGACACCATTTCTTTCTCGTCCTCTGTCTGCGAGAGAGAAACGAAATTATGCCAATTAATTATTACACTACAGATCTCGGAAATCAACTAGTACAATAATTATTACACTACAGAGTAAATCAATTAGTATAATATCAAAATACCCGAATCTGTTTACTTACTCGAGGTAAAAATTTAGGGTTCACCGGCAAAATCGCGGTCTTAGATGGCAGAACTCTCACAGGGTAATAACCAAGCACGGTTCCACCAAGTGTTAAAGCTGCTCTTGCACCAACTGCAGGAAAAAGGGAACTTCATTCAGGATTGCTTCTTGCAACAAATGAGCATGCGAGATGAATTTTGCGTTGAATTACCATCATCGGCAAACTCGATAAAGGCAAAACGCAGCACTGAATTTGGGTCACCACATATACGGCAATCTACCACCTATAAGTGCAGAAGATGGTTGTAAGAAAACAGATGTAGTATTGACAAATGAGGCAAAAGGTAGCATGAAGTGTTACCCATGCAGAAACATCACATAAGAGGGGCAGATTCAGGAATTTTTAGGTGGATGAACTGGCACGCGAAATATTTATGCCAAACTACCTATTTACACCATATGGCTTCAAACATCATCCTTATGTTTCTTGAAAGGCACCTACTGACGGTCATTAATGGGTGTGTCAATTAGGATGGTGTGAAATTAAGTCCAGTCTGCTAAGAATCAAACATTAGGCACACCATTTGCATGCAGGGATGAAGAAATATAGTCTTATTAGTTGCGTGTTATTAAAGCCTTACTACCAAATATCTATACGTCATAACCAGTAATTGGACTTGGTTGACACTTTAGAAACTGAAACATGCAAAAAAAAAAAAAAAGGAAGTGAAAGTGAGCAGTTATCCCACAAAAGTAGTACTAGTGCTACCGTCAAAAGGATCAGTTTACTGGATTTCCTAGAAAGAAATAGAACTTGAAAGTTCAACGGAGCACAACTTTAACTTTGAGGCATCAATTTCATTTAAGAAAAAGTCTATAAAAAGTACAGAAACAATACTGTTTTGTGACTGAACTTTGCTCAGCTCATCACTCAGTACGCATGATGTCAAGTTCCTGCATTTTATTGTAGATGGGCCAAATAGGGTATACAACTCATGTTTACTAATCTGAGCACACAATATTTTGAGAGTAAATTGCGCTCGTGGTACATGAACTTGTGATGTGGGTGCAAATAGGTACAACAACTTGTAAATTGCTCATGTTGGTACAATAACTTGACTAGTTTGTGCGAACATGGGCCAAAATAATCCACACAAGTAAAATTGATCTTTGCGCGCTAGTAGTTGTTTTGTTTTGAAAAATAAAATCCGTACTCTAGTAGTGCAAGCAGCCTACAAGAGATTGCAATATAGTAATTATTGTTGTTGACTGATATGTTCAAAATTAAGCTAGTGTGATTGGGACTGCACAACTACAAACAATTGCTAGCGTGCATATGTCTCACTCTGGTTATCTGGTACTACACATTAGATCAATTTTGCATGTGTGTGTTGTTTTGTACTAGGTTCGCACAAACTAGGCAAGTTATTGTACCAAAACGAGCAATTTACAAGTTGTTGTACCTATTTGCACCCACCAAGCAAGTTCATGTACCACGAGCGCAATTTACTCATATTTTGACTTCCATTAACAATCAACCATAATTAACTTGGAGATACCTTACATCATGTTACTATTTCATAAGCATAAACATCTAATGCAATTACCTTACATGATGTTAATCAAACAAAACAATACAACTCGGTTTTTGGCCTAGCAATTGCATTCAGTTTACATTACAAAAAAGCGAACACCATTACCAGCATACTGAAGTAAACATTTCAGGAAAATGGAACTACAGAATATTGGCTCTATCAAATGCTAGTCAACTAAAATATTAACTGTTGCTTTCCTGCAAGTTTCTTCCATTTCTCATCTTGTGATCTCCCTTTTTTTCCGAAACTATTACCTCCTGCCAATAATAAATTCTTCTGACAAGTTGGTCTTGTCTAGGTGCTAAGTCACAATCCATTCAGGCCGGGCAAGGTCACAATCTAAAACAAGCAGCTGTCGAAAGTAACTGCTGTACTTGTTCTAGAGTGGCATTCAACTGAATCATAACTTTAGGGTTGCACCCAACTGCATTTAGTCATTTACCATAGAGAAAAGTTGTGCTCCATACTTACAATGCAAAATCACTCTTTGTCACTCTGGTGTTATAAAGTATTAACCAAAATGAATTTAAATCTACTCTGCAAAATACTATACATATATGTTAGTTTTCTAGCTTGAAATATGCATAAGTCATCAAAGTATTTTACTACAGAATATCTGTCAGAATCTCTATTATATTTTTAGTACAAATATACCTTTTGGTTCATGCGGTTTGACTTGGTTTTCATCTCTAGCCTACTTCAACTTGATTGAAACTAATGGCTATTGTTGGTGTTGATGATGATAACAGTAATATTCTCTTCACTTGCAAATTATTAAGTCAGACAAGACAACCAACTTTGCTTGTTTGTTTTCAAGATATAAGAAAAGAGAAAGTCCGTTTTCTCACAAATGTAATTAATATTAAAATATCAGAAACATACTTGTCCGCAATTTGAGAAAACTTCAGCAAGCTTCTGTTCAGTCACCTGTAAACGAATGGATCAAGCTTCAGGTCAGTCAGTCAGGAAAATAAATGTCAAAGCAAATGTAACAGCTCATTCTCTACTATATTCTCACATGCTGATCAATGTCAGATACATAGACAGTTCGCCGCACACTATCCTCCCTATCAGTTCGCCTTGGTCGGCCTCCCATCCTCCTCCTCCCTTGGTTGAAGCTACTCCTTCTCTGTAACAAAATACATCTTATAATTATCAACAAAGAAAAAACGTAAAGCCCACTAGAGTGACTATAGAACTGTACAGATCGTGGCAAGCAATTTCTCTAACAAAAACGTCAACATAAAAAACCAGAAGAAAAAATAACTCGATCAAAATACAACCAGCAAAAATTCATCAATGTATCACAGTTGAATTATCAGTGAACAAACATGCAAAAAAGCACCGACTCGATAACTCTCCTATAAGAACGATCGGTACAAGATCAAATCAATTGGTCCTCGAGGAAAATTCGTCTTAAATTGATCACATAAATATCATAACCTAACTAGAACTAAACCCCCCTCGCCCATGAATCAACATTCTGGAATGATCGCGTCAGAGACCAAAACTCCGGCAATGAAGACAACAACATCACCCTAAACCCCAAATCCCAATCGATCGATCGATCGATCGATAGAGATCGATCATGCCACAATGAATCTACGCCAAACCCCCCACAGCGAAACTAATCGCACCGAACCCAGCAGCGCGATTAGGCGATCGATTACCCGACGATTCGGCTGGCCGTTGGTGGATCCGTCGCTGCTGGAGTCCAATCCCGCGCCCCCGCCACCGCCCACCACCACGGGGAGCACCTGGATCGGCGGCGGCTGCTGCACCGGGTGTTGCGAGTAGAAGTCGATCGCGGGGGACACGAACACGGGCGCGTCCGCCGACAGCCGGCGCGCGCCGTCCCCGCCGCCGCGGCGGCGCGCCAGCGGCACGAACTCCTCGGCCGACGGGTTCAGCTTCTTGAACAGCTCCTCCAGCTTCCTCGCGTCGCTCTTGTACTCCCTCACCTCCTCCCCGCCATCCTTCCCCGCCGCCTCCGCCTCCACCGCCGCGGCCGCATCCGCCCCCTCACCTGGGGCGGCATCCGGCGCGGCCGCAGCAGCCGCCGCCGCCGCCGCGGGCACGGCGTCGGCGCGGATCGGGGCCTCCGCCGCCACGGCAACCATCTCGGCGCGGATCGATCGAGCCCGGCCGCCTCCGATCGCACGCGCAACCACGCGAGAGGAGGAGGGGGGAGAGGAGAGAACGGAGCTCGCTGGAAGAATCGAATCGAGGAAATTTGGGTGGAATTTTTATTATTGGAATAATTCGAGGTGAGGAGTGGAAAAATAATAAGGCGAGGTTGCGACGCGAGCAGGAGGGATCGCTTTCGGGGAAGTTGGCTATAAGTAGTAGTAGGAGCCCAAAGCGAAGCCTCTTTCTGTTTTTTTTTTCTCTCTATTCATTTCGAAAAATAGATTTTCGAAATATGAGATATATTTTCCTCTTGTATACATCTATCCGTGTTTCGTAATTTAAGTCATTTGACTTTTTTTTCAAGCTTCAAGTTTATAAAAAATATAATAATATTTTTAATTAAAATACATTAATATATATATATAATGTTAAATATAATGAAACTAATTTTGTGTAGGTGTTGCTAATATTTTTATAAATTTGGTTAAACATAAAGAATTTTGAAAAAAAAAGTCATGACTTATAATGAAACAGTTGGAGTATATATTTTGTTTGCATTTCTAAAAATGAATTTTCGAAATAGAAGTGATAAAGGTGTGTTTAATTCGTGAAAAGAAAATTTTTGGGTGTCCAATCGAACGTTTGACCGGATGTCAAAGGGGTTTTCGGATACGAATGAAAAAACTAGTTTCATAACTCATAGAAACCGCGAGACGAATTTATTAACCCAGTTTATTAAGCCTAATTAATCCGTCATTAGCACATGTAAGTACCGTAGCAGTTATGGCTAATCATGGATTAATTAGGCTCAGAAGATTCGTCTCGTGATTTTTCATACAAACTGTGCAATTAGTTTTTATTTTATCTATATTTAATGATTCATGCATGTGTCGAATGATATGATATACTCCCTCCGTACTCGTAAAGGAAGTCGTTTAGGATAATGTTTAAGTCAAACATTAGGAATATAAATCATGAATAACTATCAAGTTGTTGAGTTTGAAAATGTAAAAATTATATGAATAGATTTATCTTAAAAAAATACTTTCATAAAAGTATACATATATCACTTTTCAATAAATATTTTTATAGAAACAAGAAATTAAAGTTGTGTTTTGGAGACCGTGTCGTTGTTCTAATTAACTTTTTTTGCGAGTACGGAGGGAGTATGTTTTTAGAAAAAAAATGAAACTAAACAAATCCTAAATAGATTGCGGGTGGAAAATTGGAAATGGTGTTAGTTGCGTGGCATGGCACGGCAGCATTGGGATGAGCAGCACGTTGGCACGGGCTAGACCGATCTTCTGTGGCTGGTTTGAGTTGCATCCAGCCAAAATTGTAGTGGGAGTGCGGTTGAACAAAACACAATCTACTTAAACTAAAATTAAAATAAAATTAAAACATAGTACTCGTACATAGTAGCAATGAAAAAATATAGGATTTAAAAATACCATGCTAAACCTTTTAAATATCACAGTGATAAACTTGACCGAGTTAAATAGAAAAAGAACAAGAAAAAAAAACCCTACCTTATGTAATAGTGAGAGAGATTTAGTTTCTCAACGAAGATAATCGAAATAATAGTAAGTTTAACATATTTTGTTCTATATGTCAGAACTTTCATCGAATTTTCATTTAAGAGTTATTTTTAAAAGTTTAGCTAATATATGTGGTATCTTATTTTCACGATAAGTGCTTATACTAGTTAGAACAAACATAGTACCTCTGTCTCAAAGTATTGTTACCTAGAGTATTGCTATTTAGTTATCAATATTTTAGGACGGATGTATTATTTTTTAAAAACCATGAGGGTCTGCATCATCATATATACTAATCATAATTTATAGTTTCTCTAAGTAAAATTAATGCGCAATGGAATTAACAAAGCTTCTTATAGAAAATAATATAATTATTAATAATAAGGTAAATAAGAAATATTTCACAATTCTACACAACTTAAAACATATCCTAATCGAACCGAATTTTCAACTGAACTTAAGTAATAGTTTACGTAGTATATACAAGTGCACAGTTACACAAGTACACAACGAAATCCAGAAAACAATAATACACACAGATTCCGTTTCTCGTGCACAGAAATCATCACCGCAGCAACAAGGATTTAACTTAGCCGGTTCGCTTTGTCCCATGCTGCCTTGGCGCGATCATCACGTGTAACGCTGCCACAACTAGGATTATAAAATCCAGCAGCCTCAGGGGATCTCAACGTCTCGGGCGGCTCAGAGCTGACGCACGTGAGCTCAGGGAAAGAAAAGGGCATGCGTGAATTTCGCACGTCGACAAAAGATTAAAAAAAAAACCCCGAGTATACTCTACCTAATCTTCTCTTCTCCTTTATTTTTTTTCTTGGGCAAAAAGGCAGTACCCTTTTTATTTATACAACCTTCGTTTTTAATGTATCATATTGTTGATTTTTTTATAAACGTTTAGCCATTTATCTTATTTAATTTTTATGTAAATATAAGAAAAATTAAATCATACTTAAAGGACATTTGATGATAAATTAAGTTGAAAAAAAATTATATATTTTTTAATAAGACGAATGATCAAACGTATAAAGGTTAATGGCGTTATATAAAAAAAACGGAGTATAATTTCCATAATAATATAATTCGACGAAACGTGAATAAAACGGACTACAATTTTCAGAATAATATAATTCGACGAAACGTGAACGGGACAGGAGAGGTGACACACGGGACTCGGCAACGCGTACGCCTGTATTCAATTAGGAGTAAATCCGTAGTTAAAGTACAATAAATTTTGGTCAATGGCTTAGGAGACGATAGAAACGGGAAAAGCACACGGGGTACTGTATAATAATGGCAGTTCGTTAGTTCAGCAGTCCGGTCAATTTTCTGCGGATCAAGAACCGCCACCAAGACGAGAGACTGATTCCTCCTGTGAAAATTTCACCAGAAAGAATTCTCCACTGTTAATTACAGTCAAGTTCATCTGATAAACAGCACGAATCACATCAAACAACATAGGAGGAACAAAGAATCCTCTTCCTGGTCAATGTCAATGCCTCTGACCTGAATTCATTTCAGAGAAAAAAAAAGTTCAGCAACGCAGAATGGAGAATAATTCTGCATTTCTTCCATTCTCCAATCTGAAAAACATAACAGAGAGAAGCTGCTCGAACGTTGTTTCTACCTTTCTACCTGTTTCTTTCTTTCTGCGCTGCCCCACGGTGATATGGTTGCCCTGCAGGATATCATCACCATCATGATCCCAGTAGACCAAACTGAAGAATCCAGAGCTGTCATCAAAGGGACAAAACAAAAGATGAGGCCCTTTTTTCTCTCTCACACACAGGGAATATATTATATTCTTCAGAACATATGCCACAACTTTATTCATTTTTGACAGAACTCATTGTTGCTGCAACGAAAAGGACTGAACCGCAGCAGCCGAAGCGGCCCAACACACAAAAAAAGGATTTGCGCAAAACGGGATGGTGTACAGCACATAGGATAGGATAGAGAAACAAATCCCATGACGCAAAGGAGAGCTGCACAAAAGAAGAAAACAAGAACAACAAACGGCATGGTGTGTCACGCAAGATATGGAAGAACAAACAAACCAGAATGATAAGGCTTTTGTTGAGAGCAGTCGTTATCCAGGCAAGTTTGGGTTTGGGTAGTGCAGAAATCCAATACGAATAATTGAAAGGGGCCAGATATCTAATGCAGACATTATACACTACTATACAAAGGGTTCCATCATGTGAAAATGGCTTCTCAACTTCTAACTGTGATCCTGTATGAAAAGTTAATCTGACACGATTTAGCAACAGGGACAGGATGATGCCTCACATTGGGGAAGGAAATCGTTCGTTATGTGTAACTGAAAGAGATAAAAAGATCAGATTAATCTAATCTTATATCAGTGACCTCCTAACTTGCATTTAGGTCATGAGAGTAAATTTTAATCTAGCAAGTCTGCATATGAACAACACTGATCGAGATTAGTTTTCTGGGTGCTTATAAAGTTGTAAGATAATGCACACAGGATACCCATGACATACCTGAAAGCCAACTGTCCATAAGATACTGTAACCTCCAGAAAGGATAAAAGGATATACTGTGAAATTTTTAAAACAAAATGTACTCCAGGATTGGTCATCCTGCAAAAGAAAAGCAATGACAAGAACATATACACTTATTTTCTGATGAATATGGTGTTAATAGATCATAAACACGGTAGGTCATCTGTATGACTTCCCTCCTGCCCATGGTATCATAGGCTGGTGACCCTGTGAACCAACGAGCCGTCCTCACCATAACACTTTCTGCATTACAACAGTGGCCCACAAAAGGGAAAGGTGTGAACCCCACAAAAAATCATTCCATCAGTGCTACTAGATAATTAACCCAACCCCACTCCAAGTTGACGTAGGCCATAGAGGGATTATGTGGTTGTGAAAAAATGAAGCACTGGTAAAGCACGAAAGGAGGTCCAACATGAATTTGTTGCTGGGTCCCGTAGATTACAATAGATACAAAAATCAAAGCCCCACATACAAGCCATAAAGGGATATTGTGTTTTGGGCAATACAAAGAGAACAAAATAAATGGTTCCTTTGTATACTCATAACCTCATACTTAGCTTAATCGAAGTGAAAATTTATCAGTCTGACATTCGGAATTGACAAGTGCACCTATGCTGAACAGCGAATATGTAAAATTCACAAATGGGTTTCCCCAACCGAAAAGATCCACCAAAACCAAACATGTGACAACTAGCAAACGAATGCTGTATAATTTTGCCTCAGGAGGCAGGACAGCCAACTTTAGCCAAAAATTGTACTGGATCGTACAGATAGAGGGCTGATTGATGTAACAAAACTTAAGAGTATGCATTCTCTCATAGGGGGAAGGGCTGGTTTTCTAGCGTGCAAAATAGCATCATGGTAAAATACCATGGGGGTGAACCAGGGTGACTAAATTCCAACAATTACTGTTTCAAGTAAAACAAACCAAATTATATGACATTTAACCATAGCGGCATTAATGAATCACGGACCAATGTTCTAACACTGCGAAACCTGATGGATTGATATCAGTTGGCTCCTCGCATATTGGATATATTATATATATTGTACCACTCAATACCTCAATCTGTATGTTACACCAACAATGTGTGGCAAAATTATGTTTCAGAAACATCACATCCATACTAGTAAAAAACCAAATTAAATTTTCCTTCCTTTTGCCAATAAAATAATTATTACTGCACCACGAAACAAAAATGGAAATATCAGTTTGAATTACAAAAAAATGGAAGTTGCAGGAGCACATAATTTCCTAGATCTGGTAATAAACATATATGTTTAAACTGAAGCATCTTAGAATGCATGGACTAAAATTTTATACTATTCTGATTTAACACTTTCCACCAGGTGAAGAGCTATACATATATGTACCATATGTACACCTACAGCCTATGCTCACATGATGGAACATCTTTTTTTCGATCAAGGGGGAAGGACGTCCCCTTTGACTTAGTTCAAATGAAGGGGCCCACCGAAACCTCGTACAGTAAGGTGGGCACAAATGTGGCAGCCAGGATTTAACATAATAAAAATGCTATACGCTCATCCGCATGATGGAACATCTAACAAAATAAATGATAAATAGACACCATACAAAATGCAAACATAAGTACAACTACAAATATCAAAAGCAAGGTTAGACCATGAAATAATAATTCCATGTCCTACAGCAATACAGTTGTACAAACATACAGCTGCAGCTCACTATTCACTAATATTTTTGTACTACATAGTACCTACTAAGTTAAGCTGGGAACCAGATATCAATATCAACATGAAATCATCAATGACGTCACTAAGAACTTCAGCCAATTGGTTAATATGACAAAACAAGGTAAAGTCACTTTCCAGGGGCTCCTTACATCACCACTCAAACAGGTTTTACAAAGTCCACCAGTCATCTCCCTCAAAGTGAACTCTTGAGCAATATGCAATACACTACCCCTCATTAAGAAAATAAGAAAATTGATCATCAGATTCATCACAGATCAGGCTTTTACCCTTCCCAATTGTTTATTATATGTGACGTACAGAGAATGCTGATGATGTAGGGTTGATTCAAACTAATGCTTGATTGTCATGCATTATTATGCAACAAAACACTAAGTAATTGAACTTTTGGATTTCTTTTTCTTTTGCCCTTTTCAAAAGTTCACTTTTGTTCATGTGGAATGCAGAGAATACTGGGTCTATTATTATTAAAGTCAGAAACTAATGAGGATGACATACTTTTTGGTCACATATTAGGTTGTTCTATGCATAAACTGGAACATGTAAAAAATTGCTATCCATAATAATAGAACAGAACAGGTAACTACAACCAGCAGCAGGAAAGAATCACCTTTAAGATGGCGGTGATCACTGATCATAGTCTTATGCCCATGTTGCTGGAAACAGAGTTATACATTGTTAAGCATAAATTCACTCGTTCCATTGCCACTACAACATTACTAAATACAGAAGAGTTGAACTAAATCCGTAATTATGGCAAAGAGTAATTTCTAATCTGTCCTGTGGGTGCACGAGAGGGAACTGTTTGGCAGGTGGGATCATGTGTTAGGAAATAAGGCTATGAAATAAGCAATTACTTCATTAATTGTTTCCATCAAACTACAGATTGTTCCCCATGTTTAAGATTTGATTATTGCCGTGCTGAGCCCTCTCTTTATTTAAAGAGACTTGTACAGAGGAACAAATCAAGCGTAATCTACCTCCCTCCCTCTTCTGCCCTTCCCTATTCATATTTTTCTGCTGCATATGTCCAGACTCCAGACCATTAAGGTCCATTACTCTTTTCATGGTTACCATAATGAGATGCTGCAGCATAAAAGAGGCAAGCAGCAACAGCCACACTAGCTAGGTACACCTATGATTTCTTAACTATCAAGTTATTTTAGGATAGGATCTTAGCTGCCTCAATGTTATCTTTATTTGTTAAAAGCAATTAGGTTGAGCTTACAGAAACTAGATTTTGTAGGAAAAGGAGTCGCATATGCTACCATTGGTAGGAGTAAGAAAAGTTCCTAGTCTATCTTCCATGCCACTTGTGGCATGGGCAACAGTTATCATTGTGGTTGTACCGCTTGGGAGTTAGGCCCCTAGAGTCATCAGTCATCTAATCATGCCCATGATAGTATACATATTAAGTCATACTAAACAACATCAATGATTTTCTCCATCCATGCAGAAATGGTAGGTTAAACAGACAGAGAAACCTAACTTCCAAGCATAACCTGAATAGTTATCCTGGAAATATTTTTCTATTTTAATTTTAATGGGAGATAGCTCTATATTTCATCTGAAGCCCAGTGACTGGGTAAATCTTAAACTGTAGTTGGCAGTAGATTAAGTTCTTAATCACTCAATGCATCGATTGTAACTTATAAGAGAATTGAAAACAATCAGCCTCACAACAAGAATATCTATCAAATCTCCCAGTCAGCACCAGCTCAAGATCAAACCTGGCTGGTCCTAACGGTGGTGGAGCCTTGATACCCAGACATTACCTCTGCAGGAAGCATCTGATAGCCAGTGGTCTGCCACCTCCAAGCAGTACATGCAAATAATTCCAACTGCTATCATTGAGTCAAGGAACATTGCTCCAATAGAACTGTTCCTAAAGAAAAAAGAGAAGAAAGATTAGTGAATCTTTAGAAAATGCAGGAACTATATCATATATGAGATTATTTGTTCTGAAAAGTGAGGATAAGCAACTTGCATGTCCATCAAGGACTACAGAACTCACATCAATTTAGATTTGATCAATAAATGTGAAATTCTCTTGTTCTTGTTTGCTAGTTCGTTTACTATAGATTTTATTCAAGGTTGTTCTGTTTGAAATGCAAGAAACAAAAAAAGAGCAGCAATAGATAATTCAGTATCACACCTAGTGGAATTCTACAAGAGCAAAAAGAACAAAACAGTAATCACATACTCCTACTTCTGGTAGCTTAGGGAAAGACAGTAGAGTACATGCGGAATAAATGTATAGTCCTATTGCAATGGGTAAATAAGCATCATGACTTTCAGTTAATATCCTTAAGCCTAAAAGCAATATAATGCGTGTTAAAATTCTATAGTTTAATAAACATTTAAAAATTGTTTGTACTGTTAGTGCTACTAGTTTCATAACAACAGAACCTACAATCTTCTTCCGGTTGTCTGTGTACATGTACTAATCAGACATGGTCTCGAGAAATTTGTCATCTGAGGATTGTGCGTGCCTGCCCAGAGTACAGCATTGGTGAACGTGGCAACAACTTCAAGACTCCTTAAATGCCTTATGCACCTCCCACCTCTGAAGGCTTTGCTATAAGAGTGTTCCAACACCCTTGTCACTCACAATGTTTCCTCCATTAGCAGTATATTGTAAGGTTGGTAGATAACCCAGCGGGTGATCACGTGATCCAAGAACTTGATTGATTCATGTGCTCAATCCCAACCATTGATATCTCACTTTCTCAGGCCTCAAACCAAAAGTGCTCTTGCAGAACTCCATCATCCTTTACCTCAACTGTGTCCTCCCTTGGACCCCTGATCCCAATAAGAGCATGGGAACCACCACATCTTAGGTAATCCATCTTACTTGTTTTACTCCTTCCCACTTCATGGGACAAACTCAGGCCAGGCGGACATCCCTGGTCACCAAAAATGCGAATATTAGGGAAGGACCTAATATCAAATAATTAGAAGGGGTGAGGCTTCGAACCTAGGTCGTCTAGCCCACCACCTTGTGGAGCTAAGCCAGAAGACCCTGGGCGTTTCTCGCATCCGTAGTCACCCACCTCCTTCCCAATCGAATCATGCCTGGCCAGAAGTACTCATGCATCTTTCCCTCCATCCACCAATTGAGTTTGTTAAGGCACACATTGGCAGGCAAAATGGCTAAGTATACCATAATGCCCACAATTCGGCACATGACACGCCTGTTCCAGGGTAAATCCGAACTTCCGAAGTATTAACCTCAATCAATATGGGTCAGGAACTCAGGGGGGCACATTCTGTTCTTCCTGAGCACCTTCCTTTTCAGCCTCTTCTCTTAGCTAGACCATCAAGCTCCTATCATGGTGGCACAAACACAGCCCAGACATGGGCATTGCGGTCAGAGACGGTCTTCTGGACAACAGGAAAGTAGAAAGTATCCGGCGAGAGCGCGTCGGCCACCGCCGGTGAGGTCGGCAGAGATGAACCAAAGGGTAGAGCGGCGAAGTGGGAGCGGACGGAACGGGTGGCGGTGGGAGCGAAAGGTTTGGGGCCTGCGGGCTCGAGGAGCAGGAGGAGGAGCGCATGGACGACGCGGTCCTGGAACGGGGGCGCCCGAGGCGGCGCGAGGGCGGCGCGCTGGTGCGAGAGGATGGAGGAGCCCGGAGGTCGGGGCGGAAGGCGTAGCCGGAGAGGTTGGTAAGGGCGTCGGGAGCGGATGCGCCAAGGGGTCGGGGAGGGGCCCTCGTCGGCCGCCACCGGCGGCGCCTAACGGGGTGGAGGAGGCGGCGGAGCGGGCGCCGCGCGCGGTGGCCGGCGGCGGCATTCGATCGAACAGGTGGTGGGCGCCTGGTCGGTGGAGCGCTTTCGTGGCCTCGTGGACTCTGCCTCTCGTGATCTCGTCTCAGAAAAACAGGATGTAGGGCCTCAGGTGCGCAACAAACGCCCAATTTGACTTTTCAAGAAAAAAGGAACTTTTATCAATGTCCAAAAAATTGAACATTTGCTACACCCTTAACTTTCTATACAGTCACATCTCATCCTTTCAATGATTCAAAGAGATATTGGATGACATCAACAGTTCATTTTAAGGCTGAAAATGCTTTTAAATTTAAAAAATGTACATAAATGCAAATTTTATTTAAAAACCATCACTTGTTATATACGATTATGTACTGACCTAGATTGTTTTTTCTTGAGTTGTGTATATAATAGTTTGCCTGCAGAAAATAGTTCTATGATCCGTACAAAATCATTTTGTTTCTTGGAATAATCCTTTGTTTTGTAACAAGTCCGATTTATATAGGTTTAATATGCACAAATGTGTAACCCACATTTTCTATACTCTTTAAAGTAAATTATCAATTTTAAAATTTTAAATGTAATATAATACCATCCATCGGTTGGTATTTTAAATTTTAAATTAGTAGCTGAATTGAAAAGATCTTTTGAAAAGGAAATACGCTTACAAATTGGACGGATTAGAACTTACATAAATTTTGTCCAAAATGAAATAAAGCTTAATTTTATTATATTTTTTGTCATGTTTTAGCACTACTTTCGACAAGCAAGTTATATGTATCTTGCTTGTAAAAATATTTCTTTTAAAAATGTTTCATGGATAAGGGGATAATCTTTTTTAGAATTTTCAAGATCATTTAGTGATTTTTAATTAATATATATTTTCAACATTACGCCACATTGTCACATTAGTGCTATGTCATCAACCTAATTTGAGGTTGAGTTTCAATCAGCTTCTCCATTAGGCTAGTACCTCTTTTTACATAAGTTTTTTGAATTGTTAAACATTATATGCTTTTTAAAAATATGTATATAGAAAATTCATTTTAAAAATAAATAAATATATTTTTTATGTTTGTAACTTAATTAGCCATAACTTTTCTCATGTTATGATCATTGAAAAGCTCGGCCACCCCGCCAAATCAAACACAGCCTAAGGGAAAAGTCCGAATTACACCCCTGAACTATTGGTGAATACGAATTACCCCCTAACCCGAAAATTAGATATCTTTCATCCTCAACTACGAATACCGAACGAATTATCCCCTTAACTCAAACCAGAGTGGTTTTGGTCCTATAAGGCAGTCCAGTTAGCACTTTTTTTAAATCGGTGGTCCCACCTGTCAGTCTCTCACCATCTGTATCTCTTTCCCCTCCCCCCTCTCTCTCTCTCCCTAATCATCTCTCTCTTTTCCCTCCCCTCACCTCCATCTCTCTCTTATCACCGAGGAGGGGAGCGCCGGAGGGGGAGCCTACAACGGTGGCCGAAGGGGGCGAGGGCGGAGGCAGTCGGGGCGACGGAGGAGGAGCCAAGGATGGCGGAGGGCAGATGCGGGGGCGGAGGCAGCTCACAGCATCGAAGGGGGAGTCGACGTCGGCGACCAACGGGGGCGGGGTGGCGGAGGGGGAGCCGAGGGCAGTGGCCAATGGGGGCGGGGGGTGGAGGCAACTCGTCCTCGGCCTCCGCTGCGAGACGCATGCAGCCGCTGGCGCGCCTCCTCCATGGCATTTTGACGAGAGAGAGAGACAGAGGAGAGATCTGACAAGTCGGCCCATCAATTTTTTAATAAAATAATTGTTGACTGAACTGCCACATAGGATCAAAACCGCTTGCAAAGCTGTTCGAGGGGGTTTTTCATCCGGTATTAATAATTGAGAGTGAAAGATGTCTGGTTTTCGGGTTTAAGGGGGTAATTCGTACTCACCTAAAATTTAGGGGTGTAATTCAGACTTTTCGCTCCAGTCAAAGGATGAAAAGTGAACTTCATAGATATATGGTTCGGGGATATAAGATATTTCCAAAGTTAGTGAATGAATTTTAGACTTTCCTCAAAATTTAGAGATTGAGGGAGGACCAATCCGGCCACTCCATGAGCAGATGAGCTTAGACGTCGTATTTATATATTTTTTTCTCATTCCTTTTTCTTTTGAGAATTAGACAGTACAATGCAGACACTCACAACGCACGCACTCTCACCCTATGAACGCACGCACGTAAACCCTACCCCTATGAGCATCTTCGAAGACTGGGCCGGCAAATCCATCCTGGAGATAGACGAAGTCACAACGCACACACACTCACCCTATAAAACGCACGCAAACCCTACCCCTGTTATTGACGGGTACGTCGCCTACCACTGAAAGCACATAGCCATCAAATTCTGAAAAATTCACTCTCATAGAGAGTCGAACACATGACCTATGATGCTACTGAGGCTCTTGTAGCCACTAGGCTATAGGCCCTTTTGCTTCCCATTCCTTATTTGGACGGCTGGCATTTTCTCCTCCTTTTTTTTGTCTCTTCAGCCAATCAAAGATCTGGCAGAATGGATCCTTTTGGCCTACAATGTATGAAGATACAAAAGAATTCATTCAAAGATGTGCAAGGTGCCAGAAGCATGTAGGTATCACCGCTCGCGATGCGATGCCCCTAACATACAATATTCAAGTGGAACTCTTTAATGTATGGGGTATCAACTACATGAAACCCTTCCCAAAGGACATGTTTAACTATTTGCCACTCTTACAAATGACAATTAAGGATTTGTCACTGGACCTATATGCCATAGACACATGAGGGCCCACATGTCATAGACTATGAGTGGCAAATCCTTAATTGCAACATTTTAAAAGTGGCAAAAAGTTAAATGCCCCTTCCCAAAGTCCCATGACTGCGAGCACATCCTGGTGGCCGTCGACTATGTGTCCAAGTGGGTGGAAGCAATTTCATGTCGACGTCAAACACGCCCGCAAGATGTTCCACAAGGTCATCTTCCCTCGGTTTGGAACACCGTGGATGGTGATTACTAACTGAGGGTCTCATTTTATCGATAAGACCTCCAAGAACTTCTTACAAGAGCTTGGAGCACAACACAACATTGCAACTCCATACCGCCCCCAAACAGGTGGTAAAGTAGAAACATACAATAAGCAAATCAAGAATATTCCGCAGAAAGCCGTCAATGAGAGGGGAAAACATGGAAGCATAAGCTACCTGATGCTCTTTGGGCATGTAGAACCGCATACAAGACGTCCATCGGAATGTCACCATACTAGCTTGTCTATGAAAAGACTTGCCACCTGCCTGTTGAGCTGGAACATAGGGCGCACTGGGCCATCCGGACTTAGAATATGGATTTGGGACAAGTCGGACGGCACCAACATATGCACCTGTCAGAACTGGAGGAATGGAGAGACACATTCTATCACAATAACAGAATGTGCAAGAAACAAACCAAAGTATGACATTATAGGCGAATCAAGGTCAAGGAGTATTGACATGATCAACTAGAGTTTCTGACTTGCCTGTTAAAATAACTTACATACCTTCTGTTGGTAATTCTTACGGTCACAGATAAAATCCGCAAGCGCACGGATATACCGATGTAGCACTTCCCCTACGGAGTATTCCAAAGGGTATCGAATCCAAGGGAACGTGTGTGGTCAGATCTTCCCCCGGTTCATCCAAGGACACTAAGCAAAGAATAGGCTAGGATAGAGAGGATTTGCTAGTGAGAAACAGTGTCTAGGGAAAGCTTAAGTTTAATCCTAATACAATACTTCAGGCACTGGCAACCCGCTGTTCCTAGTTGTCGCTCTACTACGTACCCGGACAGGGAGGACATAAGTGATCTTGAGGGCTGTCACCACCTCTACACCTACCTCAAACGTACTGTGGGATACACAGCAATTACTGGATAACAACTACCTAAACACCATGTCTAAGCAATTAATATTTACTTTAGTGCTTATAACTCACCAAAGTAATCACTATATTTTAGTTGATTATAGTGAACAATAATCCTGTATGCTATTTAGGAACTAACCAAAAGATAATTCTCACAAGATAAATCTAAATGACTCAGGAAGATAATTATATTGAAATTAGAGTAATAAACAGAATAAAAGAAATGGGAGAAGATTACCGACAACTCCAGAATTCCGACTTCTTCTACTCTACTCTCCTCCTATTCTAGTATACAATATAGTACAATAGAGCTTCTTATAATTCAGCTCAAGCTTGGAAGTGTGTGTGAGAGTGAAGCAGTGAAGCTCCTTTTATAGGCTGTGAGAAGGGGAAATGTCCGAACTGCCCCGCAACCGCCATCAGGGAGTGATCTGGAGGATCCACGCCAAACCCCAGGATCAACGGTGATCACCAGGGTTGGCCGAACTTGGGCTGGGCCCTCCCGGCCTGGCCTTCGGCCTGTGGACTCCCTCTGCTTTGCTTTATTCATTTATCGGAGTCTTGGGCTGATTCTCTGGTATTTTGATAAAGTTCACAACCTATCCTTGTATGGATACATGTTTTCCCTCACTTTAGTCTGATTACCCTCCCAACTTCAGGGTTTATCATCTGCACACAAATATACACCAACACTATGTTGGATGTTTTATTATATGGACTTTATGCATATGTTGGCTGTATAGAATTGGCATTTAATAACCGCCAACAACTTCTAATTCCCTACACACTGTTTGTGGCATAATTTGGCTTATAGTTAGTTTATTTGTGCAAGCCAGATTATTTTAGAATAATTGGTGTAATGGACTGATGATTTGCTTGGAAGATCAGCTCAGTTTACATGTGCAGGAATTTGTGATACATTGGGTGGCTATCCATGTAAATTGCAGGGTTATTCGATCATTTGATCATGCATGTGTCGTGTGGAGATATGTGTGCATGTCAGTTGGGCTACAGTGCTGCAATCGAGAAAGGAGTAGCTCTGTATTTGGAGTCCTGGACTGGGACTGGATGCATGCAGATGGAGAATCGATGATGCTTTATCTTCAGTTGTTGCTTGATGGCTGATTTGAGCTGATATTTGCTTGACGTACGGCTTTGGATGGAGGTCAGAGAGGAGAAGCATGAGCCAAGCGCACATGAGGATTTCACGTTGGGTTTGCACTGGTGACCGAGATGAATATGC